ACCGGCGACCTGGGCTTCCAGTACTCTCTGGTGCTCTCTCCCGTCCCTCCTGCCGCAGCTTAGTACAGCGAGAGAGAGAGAGAGAGAGAGAGAGAGAGAGAGAGAGAGAGAGAGAGAGAGAGAGAGAGAGAGAGAGAGCATTATATTATCCTCGATCTTCGTCCCTCACTTCAGGATAACATGCATGGTCCGGAGTGAATTTCCAAAAGCTTTAATGTTGATCATTATGCAACCTATGCTTACTGTGAGAGAGAGAGAACACTAACACATGTAATATTCTTGTTGATACAATAGTGATGTTGACCCCGTGCCCCTGTCCTGGTTGACAGACGCACACACACAAACAAAAAACATAACTCATGCGCTGATACTCTTCCGTTGCTCTCTTGTTACTTGTTTCCCAGTGCTATATAGTCGTAATGGCTTGGCGCTTTCCCCTGATAATTGATTGATAATCCTGTTACTTGTTGCCACTGTGGTGGTCCCTCTGTTATGCCCATTGTTCAGATAAATATTATAATATATATGACATGTTTACTTTCCCCTGTTAGATGAAACTCGCGCCAGCCAAACTTCGAATTCACACAGATCTTTTTTTTTATCATTCATAAACTGAGGTACACAGCAAAGTGCTGCTACTCTACACACAGAGATCACACTAACGTGATGCATCAAATGAACAAATCCACAAGGGCCGTGACGAGGATTCGAACCTGCGTCCGGGAGCATCCCAGACACTGCCTTAATCGACTGAGCTACGACAGGGTTAAAAGGGTTGAAACCGAAGTTCTACTGAACCTACTGGATCCCGTAGGACCAGTACACAGCAAAGTGCTGCTACTCTATTCTATGTGAGGGATTACAGAGGTATAGATCAAGAGTTTGGTATGAGTTTATCTAATATTCTTCTCACAGTCAGACATGAATTCAGGAGAAAATATGAGATGTGAGTTTAGTCTACCAGCCTGCACTAGCAAACTCTGGGTAGAGTCTGTTTGGTAATCGGTAGTGCAAGAGGAGGGGCAGCACGCTTATATATCATAGATGGTATTTAATTACCATCTACAATAATACTGTACAAGAATGTAACAACTCTTGTATATATCTCAAAAAAAAAAACAAAAAAAAAAAAAAAAAAAAAAAAAAAAAAAACAAAAAAAAATAGTCTCCGTGGTGTAGTGGTAAGACACTCGCCTGGCGTTCCGCGAGCGCTATGTCATGGGTTCGTATCCTGGCCGGGGAGGATTTACTGGGCGCAATTCCTTAACTGTAGCCTCTGTTTAACGCAACAGTAAAATGTGTACTTGGATGAAAAAACGATTCTTCGCGGCAGGGGATCGTATTCCAGGGACCATAGGATTAAGGACTTGCCCGAAACGCTACACGTACTAGTGGCTGTACAAGAATGTAACAACTCTTGTATATATCTCAAAAATTAATGTTCCCAGCTTTGGTTTTAAGTGATTGAATTATGGATATAATGTCTGTCAGGCTGACTGGTAAATTGAAATTGAAAAAAGGAGTAGAGAGTTGGGATAGCTGCCTGTGAGATATGTAGTAACATGTGTTTAAGTCTATCTTCTAATATCCGTGAGGGAAATAGTTACATATAGCTCCATGTATCTCCTGCCGTTTGGTAAAAAGTTATTGATACCGACAAAATTCACTAATATAGCGTTAAAGAGCGTGCCCTCGCTCTTGTTCACAGATTTTACAATTGGAACAAAAGTAGAAATGTTCAAGAGACAATAAGATAAGCTCCTGCAGGAAGTGCCGGATCAACCAGACTGTAGTGGATATGTGGGCTTGTGACCCCTCCAAGCAACAGCCTGTTAGATCAACTTATCGTAAACAAGGCTGGACCCAGGCAGAGTTTGCGGAGTGGAAAAACTATCTGAACCCCACTCAAGGTATATTCCATGTATAGTGTTGAGAGATTCATTACTTTAAATAGCCTACAATATATACAATTATATAAGTCTCTGGTGCACCGCCACCTGAATTATTGCATCAAGGCATGGAGACCTCATCTTCAGAAAGACACAGCTGCCCTGAGAAGATGCAACACCGGGCAACAAAATTCCTCCCAGAACTTAGTCATCTCTTGTATCAGGAACGGTGATTGATTGATAAAGATTAAGCCACCCAAGAGGTGGCACGGGCATGAATAGCCCGTAAGTGGTGGCCCTTTTGAGCCATTACCAGTATCATGAGCTGATACTGGAGAGCTGTGGAGGCGCGACTGCACCCTGCGTGACGGGAGATGTCTCCCGGACGAAATGGTGACCAAATGGTCTCAGGAACGGTTGAGGGCCACAGGGCTAACAACACTACAAACCAGGCATGACAGGGCAGATCTCACTGTAACCTTTACAATACTGAACAATTTGGAGGATGTCGATCCGGACAATTTCTTCAAAAGGTCAGACATAACACGAACGAGGAGCAACGGGTTCAAGCCCAACAAACCACAAAGTAGGACACAAAACAGGAGATACTTTTTCACCCATAGGGTTATAAACCCGTGGAATCGCCTACCCGCCGAAGCCTTAAACGCCAAAATTCTGCTGGATTTAAAAAAACAGCTGGAAAAAATCCTCAGGGCAAATGGGGGAAGCTTTGAAAAGCCGCCGGCTTTCTGTCTTCATCAAGGCCACTAGTATTAGTGACCCTCAGATAAATTCAGGTAAATACATTAACGACATATATGAGAACAATTGGAAACCACATCATCAAATTTACAGATAACAAAAATCTACTGTAAAGTGGGAAGCGAAAACTATATTGAGGCCTTGAAAGCGGTTTACAAGAACTCCACAAATAGTTAGAAGACTGGCAAATGCCTTCTATATTGAACAAATGCAAAGGCTTCCATGTGAGGCATAGTAATCCATATCATAACTATTATATCAGCAAGAAGACCATGCAACAGATTAATGGGGAAAAAGACTTAGGAGTTATGATCTGCCCGTCATTGAAAGTGGTTCAATAAACAGCAGCTGCAGTAAATAAAATAAACTAAGAAATTATCAAACGAACCTTTGACTTCAAAGGAAAAGAATGTGGTGATTAAATCTCATGTACTCCATAAGATTATGTTTACCAGAGTTTACCTGAGAACAACTAATACTAGTGGCCTCGCCGAGGACAGGAAGCCGGCGGCTTTTCGAAGGTCCCCCCCCATTTACCTTCATGATCTTTTCCAGCTGTATTTTAAAGGTTAACAGAGTTTTGGCTTTTACGGCTTCGGCGGGTATGCGGTTCCAAGGGTTAATAACCCTGGGGGTGAAAAAGCATCTCCTATTTTCTTCTATTTTCAGTCCTACATTGTGGCTTGTTGAGCTTGAAACCTTTGCTCCTTGTTTCAGTTACACCTGACCTTTTGAAGAAATTTTCCGGATCAACATTCTCCAAATTTTTTAGTATTTTAAAAGTTTCAATAAGATCCACTCTGCCATGCCTGGCTTGTAGTGTTGTTAACCCTGTGGCCCTCAACCGTTCCTGATACGTGAGTTGACTTAACTCTGGAGTCTCATGTACTCTTAATAAATCTCATGTGCTCCATGAGATCCATGTATGCTCCCATCTGGAGTGCTGAAGTACTGTAGCCAAGCATGGAAACCTTTCCTTTAAAAGAACATACAGTATCTTATTTGGAAAAAGCTCAAAGCAGAACGACAGAAATCCTCCTAGGACATCGTAGGTCATACCAGGAAACGAAATGTGTCGGTCGTGCCTGAAACGCTATGCGTACTAGTGGCTTTAGGTATTATATGTACTATCTCTATCTTTAAATCCATCATTATGTATGTAACTCAATGGACGTACCTTTACCTGAATATTGAATCTAAATCTGAATCTGAAAGGCGGAGAGCCTCAGGGCCACTACAAACAGGTATGACACGGCTGATCTCATTGAGACCTTTAACATTATCAACAACTTGGAAGATATTAATTAAGACCATTTCTTTATAAGGTTCAATGTAACTCACGCAAAGGGAAACAGCTTCAAGCGCAACAAGCCACATTGTGTTTAGGTTAAAATAGCCGCTGCTTGGAATTCTTGCTTGCGTGGAAAATAGCACGCAACTGCAAAAAAGTTTCAGTCCAGTTGCAGTCCAGTTGGTCTTGCACTTATTACAACAACATTTCTATTTGTTTTTTTGGATACATCCACTCTGGTAATATTTCTTATCGTTGCTGTAAGGATAATGAATAACCGGAGACGTCTTATGCTCATTCAGTGCTCTCTGTACCTATAGCAACTCTACTCTTCACTGGCTCTATTCTGCATTTCCTTCCATATCGTTCGCTCAAGCGTGTTATTATTTTACTCTGCAAATTTGGGACCTGGCCTTCCAGTATAGTACATTCCAGTTCAATGTTCCGTATATATTATAATAATACTAATTTAATAATTCATAATGTCGGGACAGGCAGCCAGTGTACACAGTGTACATGTTAAGTTTATATCGAGGTTCACCCCAAAGGTCGAATTATTGACCCTCCCAAGGATGCAACCTCACAAGTTGACTAACTCCTGGATACCTATCTACTGCTAGGTGAACAAATGTATTTGGTGATAGGAAACGCGCTCAATCATTTCTGTCCCGCCCGGGATTCGAATCCGGAATTCTAGATTGTGAGTTGAGAACGAACCCAACTGCACTGTACTTAGGACCTTCGATAAGCCGCCGGCTTCCTGGCCTCGTTGAGGTCACTAGGGTTAGTGGCCCTCAGATAAATCAGGTAATACATCTATCATCTTCATTTTTGAGAGCTTTGAGGCAGGCCTGCCGTGGTACTCTTTCAATTCACATGTTCTCAAATCTGACTGGAGATGCACATTATGACTGGCGTCCTCGCTAAGTGGAGACCATAGCCTACTTCCTACTCAATGTCCCTGCGTCTCTCCTACGTGAACATCGGTGCACAACTAAGTCTCTCCCTCACGGTTGCCATGCTCTTTGACGGGGCCGGCCGAGGCCCGGGAGGAAGACAGTAACCGACCAACACCACCAACAACATTTTCCAGCAGACGTTCTTCCTACTTACTGGGGAGAACAAGTGACTTGTAGGAGGGTGTCCTCGTTGATATCGTCGCCAGGTGACGTGCTGCTCTCCTAGCTACGGTACGGATGGGCTCTTCTGGCTTTATAGCTCCGTATCAACACCAAGTAACATGTGTAGTCTGAACAGTAACAGTTAAGCACCTGAAACACGGACGACACGTGCTTGTCGTCCTTGGAGAGAGACCAGACCCCGCTGTTTTGAGTTCATTATATGTTATAATAAGTTTAATTTTGATTCTTAATCACATCAGTGTTATTTCAAACGAAGGTGTTACTGGTTGTTTCTTCAATCAGTTATAAGTGTATAGCTGTAATTTCACACCTGATGCTCTCATAATAATAATAGTTATTCACAAGAATGTGTGTACAAAGAATATAAGAGTAATGCACAATTGTAGGGCAGGAGTTACACATAGTAATGAAGCCACTATTACGCAAAGTGTTTCGGCCAATGTACTGTTCATACTCTTCACCTGCCAGTAAATTTGGATGTTGTGGCTTGCATCCTGGGAAGGGAAGGGAACGGAACTATCAGGAGAAGCATACAGCCATTACGACTATATAGCACTGGTAATGGGCCAGATAAAGATCTGGGATGGGACGGGGAAAGGAATGGTGCCTAACCACTCGACGGTCGGGATTGAACGCCAACCTGCATGAAGTGAGACCGTCGCTCTACCTTCCATCCCAAGTGGTTGGGGTTGCATCCTGGGAAATGTTATCAATAGTTGGCCTAGGTGAACCTTGATAGGCCTACAGTACAGTACTGCGCTGTTGACTTGGGGGTGTCAACACTCGTGGGGCTCCTCAGACCACATGATTATCGTCTCCCCTTAAATCAACACCAATATATTATGGTGTGTTTAGTGTGGGTTTTAAAATCTGTTTGTAAACAATATTTGTGGAGTAACTTCAGAAACTGGATTTTGCCCTTCCCGTACCTAACATTAGCTGAAGCATGCAAACTCTGCACTGGCATTAAAAAATGATGTCCCAGTGCAGCTTGTCCTCCTAAGGTTTTCTAACATCAAGACACTGTCGTACTAAAGTGCCCTTATCCTAACCTACCAGTGGAGCCTAAACAGAAAACTGGACAGTATCAGTTAATTTTGCAAACCGCTACCATTTCCTAGTACAATGATTTTTGCCCTTGGGTAAAGCATGCATCAAAATGTGACACTATAGTAGGAGGACAGGTTGCGCAGTCACATCACACACGTTCAGCACACCGTGTGTAAAAGAGTTATATTTATTATTTTCATTGGGGTGGGTTGAGTGGTGTTTTAGGTTTTTTGTTTTATGTAAAGCATTGGGGGTGATGTAGTTTGGTCAAGCATTTGACAGTTCTAAGGCCACTCTCTCCCTCGGGGGATACAAGTCGCTTCATACCTGTGATTTTTTTTTACGATGAATTTTAAAACCTACCTAAAATATTCCTACCTAACCTAATCTGACTCACTGTAACCTAACCTAATAATATATTTGGTTTTAACAATTAGAAAATAAACAGTATGTTAGGTATAGGCTTATGGGGCACTATGTTGTATGGATTGCCCCCACTCAACTGTGAGGATATGCTTGGACTAATGGGGCTCCCCCAAAATATTATTTCTTATGCAATCCCCGTGGTGCAGTGGTAAAGCACTTGCCCGGCACTTCGCAAGCACTTTGACCTGGGTTCATATTCTGGCCGGGAAAGATTGATTGGGTGCCAATCCTTGACTGTAGCCTCTGTTCACCCAGCAGTGAATAGGTACCTGGTTGTTAAATGATTTGGTGGGTCATATTCCTGGGAAAATTAGGATTAAGGACATGTCCGAAACGCTATGCATGCTAGTGGCTTACAAATATATAAGAACTCTTGTATAAATAAGTACAAAAAATATATTTATAATCCTAACTTAAATACTTGTGTGTGTGTAATTACCTTCGCATTCTATGCAATTCTTATGCATCCAAAATTCTAAGTTTTCGGTTGGAAACAACTCTTACTACTTTTGGGTTCTTTTCTCTGATCTAGGCTGAACCTGGCACCTAAGACATTCACCAGGTTCACTTGTATTGTACTGTGGGAACTTGGCCTTGCAGGGTATATTTCTTGGCCTGCTTTAATGCACGCCAAGAACGACCCAGACAATACGTCACCCAGAGACGGTGTGGGTCTCTGGGTGATCCATTTGTCTGCAAGGCAGAGTTATAGTTTTTTGGGTACTTGAACTTGAAAATGCCCATAGAGCTGGTAAGCAGGTTGTGGAAGAGTGGGGCGAGGATGCATAAGCGAGTAACTGGTAAGCAGGGTGTGGAAGAGCGGGGGGAGGATGCATAAGCGAGGAACTGGTAAGCAGGGTGTGGAAGAGCGGGGGAAGAATGCATAAGAGGAACTGGTAAGCAGGGTGTGGAAGAGCGGGGGGAGGATGCATAAGCGAGGAATTGGTAAGCAGGGTGTGGAAGAGCGGGGGAAGGATGCATAAATGAGGAACTGGAGATGAGGCAGAAAAGGGGAAGTGAAGATTGGTGGCTCCAACCACCGCAGATTTGATCTTGGGTTGATTTCTCTAAGGCTGAGTGGGGTATTCTTGGCAGTGCACACAGAGGCTAGGCATGCAAGCAGTTGGCAGTTAGTGGTAATTGATGGTCGTTGTTGGTGGTACTTCATTCTTGGGTCTTCATTCTTAAATCTCAGGTCTTCTGGCTTCAGTGCTCTTCTTTCTTCTTATATTTTTCACCAAGCTTGGATCGTTGGTTTTCTTGGGCTTCTTGGTAGTCTTACTTCTTGTTGATATAGCAGTACTGTCGGTCAAGGTTGTAGGTGTGGTGCCCAGAAAGAAATTGTCAGGTCTGTTGTTGCACTTCCGCCGAGGAGGGGATGGTGTTCCAACTGAGATATCTTTATCTGGCGAATCTGTTGAATCAAAAGCAGAGGCGGCATTCCTTGAAGGTTGAATAGTAGCAGGTCCTTGTGCAGGAGTAGAAGGTTTAGTTGGCATACACACAGTTCGTGGAATGACAGTAGTAGATGGTTCTGAAGGAGGCACGGCAATAGACTGTGTAGCTGGGATGATGGGTGAAACTGTAGCAGATGTCAACGAATGTGAAGACGTCGGCTCCTCTACAGAAGCTGTAGGAATGGGTATTGCAGCAGTGGACAATAGATCTGTAAGCACAGGAGTGTTCAGTGATATCTGGGTCTGGGTCAGGAGCCTGAGTAGAACTCGTAACTGGAGTAGAAGTAGCGTAGTCTTCATCGGTACTAGACTGACATTTTAGTGAACTAACAAAAATTGCAGTTGTGTCTTGCACAGTGCCGACAGTGGTTGGGGTCTGATTGGGTTACCAGGTTGATGTTTCCCTGTTCTGTCTTCCTTCTGCATTACATTCGCTTGCCTCCTGTAATCATATGCTTTTTCTGAGTTGATGGAACTGAAGAGCTTGTACCATTTTTATAATAGGAATTCACGGAATGCATTGTGCTCTGAATATTTAAAAAAAAAACTCCATGAAATTCATATGCAGCAAAGAATTGTGTATCTCTTTGTTTTGTTTAAACTGTACTGTAGTTAAGCAAACATAGTTTTATTTTTTTTTACCTTTAGGTATAAAATAAATAAATATATATATAATATATATAATATATTGTAGTTATACTTTACTATTGCTTATTAAATGGCTTTCATATTGGTATAAAATATACAGAACAAGTCATGTTATATAACTACCTGAAGATTCATGTGCTATTAATCACTGATGTTCAGTATGGCTTGAAGCAACAAATTAAGATTGTATGTGTGTGTGTACTGTAAAATTCAAAACAATGTTGTATGATGTGCAATACTAGACCCATATGCCCAATGACCATTCACAGATAAAAATAATACATCAGTAATATAGATAGGTTATCTTGAACAATGTGATAACTCTGGTTATTATTATGGTTAATTTTTTCTCTTCTAGGTTGTTCACAAGATTAAAGGATACGAGCACCCAACAAATAACAAGAGTATTATAATTGTCAGTCAACATAAAAATTAAGAAAATCAGAAACGGATGCAAAGTTGCACGACACAGAGAAGGTAAAGGGGGCATGAAAAAAGTATAATTTCTTACTTAAACCATGATATCAGAACAGATCAAAAGTACATCAATTGAAACCACGTCAGGAAAAAAAAAGTCTATATGCAACCAAAATGATTTAGTAAGTAACATGCCCTTAAATAAAAAGCAAGACGAGATACGAATTGGTGGTTCACTGGTTACAAAGGAAAAGAAATGGAGGTGGAGGAAAAATAAGAAAAGAAAGAGAGAAGAGCAGACTAGTAATGAGAATTGTGATGGAACACAAATGGAAACCAATCAACCAGTTGATAGAAAATTAAATGAACATTTGGAATCACTGCCGCCAGCAAAGAAGAAGAAGAGAAAGAAGAAGAAGAACCCAGGTGTGACTGAAGGGCTTAAACCAGTACTCATTGTCAAAACCCCGGAGGATTATTCAGCTAACTGGAAACGGCTGAAGGAGGTAACAATATAATTACTGATCTGTTTGCGAGTTTGTGGTGTACATAGTCTTAGAAGAATTGTTTAGTGTTATTTATTCGTCAGGAAATTGTCATAAATAGTGTGTGAAGTACAGTACTGTAGAATGTAGCGTGACAAGGAAAGTGTGTATGTAGGAAAGGTACAGTGTATGTAGGAAAGGTACAGTGTATGTAGGAAAGGTACAGTTGAGGAAAGTAGGTTGAGTATGAATTCTCGACATAATTAAAGTCAACATTCAAAGTGAATAGGGTTAGAATGTAGCACATTTACATGTAGTCAAAAGAAAGTTTATACGAAAAACATTACCTTGAGGTTATCTTGAGATGATTTCGGGGCTTTTTAGTGTCCCCACGGCCCGGTCCTTGACCAGGCCTCCACCCCCAGGAAGCAGCCCTTGACAGCTGACTAACACCCAGGTACCTATTTACTGCTATGTAACAGGGGCATAGGGTGAAAGAAACTCTGCCCATTGTTTCCCGGCGGTGCCCGGGATCGAACCCGGGACCACAGGATCACAAGTCCAGCAACAAATGCAACAAATGAAATATGATCACACGGTTTCTGTTCACCCATGGTAATGTTGCTGGTCTCTGGACACACATGAAGAACAAGACACCTAGCACAAATCTGAAAGTAAAGGAGTTGATGATGTGTCGGCCTGTTCAGTTACTGTTCAGACTTCAGTTCAGTCTGTTCAGATCAGTTATTCTGTTCTGGCATAAACTCTACTCCGTTGTTGTTGTTGTTATAGATTCAGCTACTCGGAACAAGTTCCAAGTAGCACGGGCTATGGTGAGCCCATAACTTACTTGGCACAGGAGCGGGGCAAGCAGCACGGGCTATGGTGAGCCTGTAGTGGACTTACCTGGCACATGAGCAGTGTGAACTCTACTCATTAATCCCTATGTTAATTCCCTGGGACATCCAAACACCCTGGACTGTTTTGACATCTTAGTACAAAAAAGGACCACAAAATCGCTTTATAGTCATTTATGTTATTTAACACATTTCAATTAATATTTCACTGTCGTGTGATTTTATGCATTTTATGTCATTGCGATGCATGGCACTGATGGGAATAGTAATTTTGTTTTACTTGCTGGATGGTTTGTTTAACACCTCAGGGTACTAACAGGGTTCAAAACATATTAAGGTAACGTTGCTTGCCTAGTGATACACAAAATTTACTAGTTCTATTAGTATTTACTAGTTGTAGTAATAGATTCCTCTAACAAACTCACCTACCATATCTTCTAAATTATTAATTGGAATAGATTCCTCAAGATATTTCCTAAGTGAACTTATTACAAAAGAAATTGTTTTTGGAGTTAGAAAAAGTGGATGGGTTTGGTTAGAAAAAGGTCATATACTATAACTAGGTTTAATTTTGAAAGTAAATTTACTTCTGAATAGTATCCCACATCTTCTTAGTCTTTTATAGTGTTAATAATAAATGTCAAACAAAAATCTTAACCAAAAATAAGCAGTTTGGGGGTATGTGAAAAATCAATGGACCTGTATAAATTATCATCCACACTTTCATGGAAATAAACATTCCATTCACTGTGGACCTCATGCGTAGGGTCCAATGGCCTTCACACACGTGGGGTCCATGGTTCGAGTCCCCATACAACCCAGGTGTATAGGTAAAAAATCAATTGACTCATTTTTGGAAGAAATCATTTGGCTGGTTTTAATCTTGGAAAAGGTGAGTTTTGATACGTTTCTGCCAGTGGAGGTTTGAATTTGGCTTGGTGGAGTTGCCAAAAATATTATTCTATAAATAGCTATGTAACCCCTATCTATTTAATTATTGCAGTCAGTTCCCTAAATAATTCATGAAAAGAGTATTAAGAAAGAGGTTTGGACAAGGTAAAGTTGATGGGCCTGATTCATTTGTACCATGTGTGGGTTCTTGCTCTATCTTTGAACAGTACTGTAACTTTAAAGGACCAGATCCTGGTATATCTTGAAAATGAGAGCGAAATCTCTCTAGTCAGGTTCTCCTAGTAGATGTCTTTCCATACAACTTGAAATTAAAATTTAGCTTGGTGAAACTTATCCATAGACGATGGGAAAAATTGGTTTTAATGGTGACCCTCTTTAATATGACTGATTGCATTTTTAAAGTTTTTTTTAGACACCTGGTTCCTTGGGGACTTGGTGCACACCTACACTTTGGACTCTGTCAGTGTTTTATTTAAATACCCATTGATTTTGAAGGTACAATACCCATTCCAGTATCATTTGCATAGCACAGCATCTTCTCTTTCGATTCATGCCATAATTTTAGTAAAAATATTTATTTTAACACACTAAGAATGTCAGTCATGTACTTATTAAGTGTCTGAAGGCTTACAGCCTTACCTTATTGTTTTAACTTTTGGAGAGACTGGTTAAAATAATGTGATCATGCTTAGGGAAACATCTGGTAAAAGCATACTAGGCAGTTAATAACAAAAGGGCTAAATGATCATTCATGTTAGGATTACACCAGTATAGTTGTTACTGATTGTGTTGAGTAATTAATACTTTTGCGTTTCCGGGACGTAATCGATGTCCACAAATAATTCTGCGGATGTCTGCCTGGGACGTATGTGGTGTCCATAATTAAAATTTGTTAAAATTCCATTTTTTATCCGAATTTTATGGGACTGGTTTTATAATGCACGCCTTTAGATTGTGAATAATTTGATACCAGAATGAACAAAGTAGTCTTAAAATTGAGGTGAGAAAACTGAAGAGTATGCATATTTTGTGTATAACGCTCAATGGGTAATGTCGTGACGCTGAACCCCGGTTCATTCCGAACACAGCGATTACACAACACATAACACCTTGCCTCAGCCCCCGTTACTACCACCGTGTACTCCTACACACACCAGACCCTTGAGGCGTACCACTAGGTTTGTACTGGAACACAATGAATGAACATACGGAAGGTATTTAAAGGCCGTCGGATTTTGTCATTTAATTACAAAGAATAGACTCTGACAAATAATACTATATTAATTAACATACTCTATTAGGTCAATACACTTCCAATACCCATAGACCACTTGACCTCCGCGATCACCACACACACTCGTAACTTCCGCCTAAGTCCCTAATACGGAATGATTACTACAACGCTCCACACCCGGTTAGTCTTACATTCAATACTCACATACTGCAGACTTAACTTGGTCACTAAGATCACAACAGGCTCTCGCATAGCTGTCTGCTACACTTCGCTGCTGCCACAACCGGGGATCCAAAAGGACTTGCTCGTTCAACTTCCACAATCAGACTGACTCCAGTCAGCCATCTACCTCAACCATTTCACCCCACCTCTCAAGGAAGGTATAATCCGATTAACCTTATCCCTAGAGAGGTAATCTTGTTCCTAGAAGCCTGACGAAGAATAATTCCTCTTTCCAGGAATTAATCATTTGGCTAAACAGCTTCGGTCTTAATCCATTGACCTTTCTTAGATATGTGATCCATAGTCTGTCTACTTACATGAACTTCCAATCATCATTCGTTAAGTGTTGTAGTAATGATCCTCTAGCTAATAATTCCTACTAACTTGTGGATTACAACACCACTCCCCTCCTTAAACACGCATATGTCCCCATATGCATCATTGCAATGGTTCCATTAGTGTAAGGACCTGGAGGATGCACCCACCATATGTGTACAACTAAAAAATCATCCAATAAGTTCATCATACACACGATGAACTAAATTAAAATTTTCCCCGACATGACTCACAACACTTCTCCAACATATACATTATATTCACATCATAGCACAGGTAAAATAGTCTGTAATAATTTTTCCCATCTCCAACAATGCACATATACCTAAACTGCTGACATATAATTACATACAAACATAACCATAAAATTACATGGACCAGAATGCTGGCACTTAAACAGAAATGACACTAGTCATTAATATATACACAACACATATATATCTAAGGTTCTTCATCCTTAGTAATTATAATTTAACATCTTGCCCTGTACTGTTGACATAAGGGCTTACAATGATCACACAATGTTTCACTGGCCTCCTCCACAATTGGCAGCATCACTTCTCTTGTCTTTGTGTCCCATGGTTGCTAGGTCATAGATCCTCCATGACCCAGACAAAACCCAGGCTGTCCAGCCTGGTGAATGTTGTTAATGTCCCATCGTTGCTCTGAGGTAACGTGATCCTGGCCTCCAGAGCAACGGAGATTCCTACCCCAGGGTCATGTCCCCTTGGGTCTGTGCTGACGTCTCGTTCCAGGGCACCAATCCCAGAACGCTGTAGATCCCTCACAGCTCTCTGGTCTAGGCCCATCCGCCCAGAGTGTGTCCACCTGTATTCACACCTTCCCGACCGCTGTACCTGCAAAATATTCCCTCGGAGCCCCCTGGCTCAATCCCATTATCACATAACCCCCTTGGCTCCTTACTCTCTCCCCGTATATAGCCTGAGCGCAGCTGCAAAACCATTGCAGCTGGCCCTTATCCCTGCTTTGATGTCAGGGGGCGAATTTCGCCTATAACGTCACGTTAGCTTCACTTCCTCCCCCCTTTTTTTTTCTCTAGAATTACTGAGTGTAGCCTCATAGCTTCCCTTCTACTCTACCTGAAGCTCTGTGACATGATCCCGGGGGACCTTCTCAAGCCTAACACTCAGTAATGGTGCCGATGAGGTAATATACAGTATATACATACACATACATTATCACAATAAATACCTCATTAAAATAATTTCACACTTATGTCACTAAAACATCATACTGCCACTGGCTCGCCTCTAGCGAGATTCCTGTAACAACTTAATAAGAAATTAGTATATCTACTTCGCTCGTCCACTGCAACCACCAACACCTGAAATTTGAAATTCTACCTTATAATCTTATCCATAAGACTTACCCACTCCGACTTAATTAATGAAAATTTTAATGAAAATAATGAATTTTTTATTAGTCTTTTATGAGTCTTGCTAGAGATATCGACTTGACTCGCCTACTGCAGCCACCAACTCCTGCAATTATCCACATTTCATCTTATCCTTAAGACTTACCCACTCCGACACACCATCACCTCTGGTCATCCCAACCACTGATGACCTCATTATAACGCCACACATCCCTACAACCACTTCCTGCGTCCTAACGCACCGACCTTGCTACGCCAATACTCACCTTACCGACCACTACATGGCGCCCCTGCGCCACCATATACTCCATAACACCACACTCCATACCAGGCGTCCAAACGCCACTACACTACACCACCCAATGGCGTCCCCAACGCCCTCAACACAACACACGGCGTCCCCAACGCCCTCAACACAACACCCGGCGTCCAAACGCCCTCAACACAACACCCGGCGTCCAAACGCCCTCAACACAACACCCGGCGTCCTCAACGCCCTCAACACAACACACGGCGTCCCCAACGCCCTCAACACAACACACGGCGTCCCCAACGCCCTCAACACAACACACGGCGTCCCCAACGCCCTCAACACAACACCCGGCGTCCCCAACGCCCTCAACACAACACCCGGCGTCCCCAACGCCCTCAACACAACACACGGCGTCCCCAACGCCCTCAACACAACACACGGCGTCCCCAACGCCCTCAACACAACACACGGCGTCCCCAACGCCCTCAACACAACACACGGCGTCCCCAACGCCCTCAACACAACACACGGCGTCCCCAACGCCATTACCACCACAGGCATATGCCTTGCGCCAGAGCGCATCAAAACACCACGAGACGTCACCACCAATAAGTAACCAGACGCCACACACACTCCCTTTTCTCTCGTAATCCGTTAATTACCTGACCAACACTCGTCAGGCATAATTTCTTGTGTAGTGGCCACCCGCCACACACTACAACCTGCGTTAACATACTTCAACGCTAATGTCTACAATACACCCGGTGTTACAACAACCAGTTATGCTACACATGCTACACCTTGGCGCTACAATGCCAACAATGTCATGCACTATACTACATCCATGATATCCACAGTGAAAACATGCACATTTCACTACAGTAAATACTATGCATTACGCTGGCGTCTAATAAGCCACTACACATGCATTACACTACACACCACATGCATTACACTACACACCCCGGCGTCCAAACGCCAATACACAACCATGCACTACACCCGGCGCCACACACCCCCACCAACGGGACACGCTCCCCGTGTCCCACGGTAACACTCTCCATAATGCTACCTGCACCCACAAAAAAATCTCCATGGCCCTTTGCACGGTACACTAGACGTCGAACCTCGCAAATTACGCATCGCTCGCTTTGCCCAGGCGTCCATAATTCACTGCGCCTATTTTCTGTATCTACGTCTGACAACGCCGGAACTCGCACAGTACTTTAGGTAATATTTCATTATCCTTAAAATATTCGATTTACACGTTACATGAAATTTAATTAACTTTAAATTACGTAGTTTTCACGCTTAATTTCACCTTAGCAACGGTTTCTCACTATTTCCGCCTTACCAACGATATAAAACAAGCTCCATGGTGCGGCTCGCTTGGCCCACCCATCGCTTGGCCCGCACATGGCCCACGCTGGCCCACATTCACCCGCGCTAGTTTTCCTCGCCACGCTGTATAATCCGCACTACGAACACTGTATAATCCGCACTACGAACACTGCACTTGTTTTGGATCCCGATGCTTCAGTGGTCCAGACTTGCATCTTAGCCGTCTCTCGTTGCGGGAATCTGGAAAGAAAGAAATAAACCCCACATGTGCCCCACAATGGCCTAGTCCCTTTAATTAACTAACTCCTCTGACCTGGTCTCACCTGACCCTTCTTTCCTCCGTCTAGTAACCACCATTCTCACCACAACCCGACGTCTACCATTTCCCGAACATTCCCTCACCAACTAAACCAGTAACACACTTCCTTCATCTCTCAAAGTGTTCCAAACCTGTTTGCACTGCCACCAAATATGTTGTGACGCTGAACCCCGGTTCATTCCGAACACAGCGATTACACAACACATAACACCTTGCCTCAGCCCCCGTTACTACCACCGTGTACTCCTACACACACCAGACCCTTGAGGCGTACCACTAGGTTTGTACTGGAACACAATGAATGAACATACGGAAGGTATTTAAAGGCCGTCGGATTTTGTCATTTAATTACAAAGAATAGACTCTGACAAATAATACTATATTAATTAACATACTCTATTAGGTCAATACACTTCCAATACCCATAGACCACTTGACCTCCGCGATCACCACACACACTCGTAACTTCCGCCTAAGTCCCTAATACGGAATGATTACTACAACGCTCCACACCCGGTTAGTCTTACATTCAATACTCACATACTGCAGACTTAACTTGGTCACTAAGATCACAACAGGCTCTCGCATAGCTGTCTGCTACACTTCGCTGCTGCCACAACCGGGGATCCAAAAGGACTTGCTCGTTCAACTTCCACAATCAGACTGACTCCAGTCAGCCATCTACCTCAACCATTTCACCCCACCTCTCAAGGAAGGTATAATCCGATTAACCTTATCCCTAGAGAGGTAATCTTGTTCCTAGAAGCCTGACGAAGAATAATTCCTCTTTCCAGGAATTAATCATTTGGCTAAACAGCTTCGGTCTTAATCCATTGACCTTTCTTAGATATGTGATCCATAGTCTGTCTACTTACATGAACTTCCAATCATCATTCGTTAAGTGTTGTAGTAATGATCCTCTAGCTAATAATTCCTACTAACTTGTGGATTACAACAGTAACACACGGCCGATTTTTGGGTTTGCTGCGGGTGGCACGCCTGTCTTTTTGACCTTGTATGTATATATGTTATCCCTTTACAGAATTCTATTGGGAATAATTTGATACCAAAATGACCGATATAACACAAAAATTGATGTGAAAAAACTGAAAACAGCATGCGCATTTAGTTCAGGTGTGCGGATAGGTGCTCGCTCATGGGTAACGCTCATCCAATTTTCGGGTTTGCTGTGGGTTGCACACTGGATATTTTTTTACCTTAGATGCGTATATCCCTTTAGAGATATATGCTACCTAATGCAAACAATTTGATACCAAAATGAACAATGTAACACGAAAATTGATGTGAGAAAACTGAAAAGAGCATATGCATTTTAATGGTCTTTTGCACTTACGGGTAACACACAGCCGATTTTCGAGTTTGCTGCGGGTGGCACACCGGGCTTTTTGATCTTATATGCATATACTCCTGTAGGGAATTCTATTGCGAACAATTTGATACCAAAATGAACGATGTAACACAAAAATTGATGTTATCAAACTGAAAAGAGTATTCACATTTGTGTGCAGATGTTGCAGGTGTGCCAATGGGTGCTCATTCACGGGGTAACGCTCGACTAACTTTCGGCTTTGTTGCAGGGGTTGGGGTGCACCAGGCTTTTGGAACTTATAAGTATATACTCATGTAGGGAATTCTATTGCGAACAAATTGATAACAAAATGAATGATGTAGCATGAGAATTGAGGTGAGAATCCCGAAAAGAGTAGATACAGTTTGGTGAGGTTGCTCGCTCAAGAGTAACCCTCGGCCGATTTGTGAGTTTGGTGCGGGTGGCACGACGAGGTTTTGGACTTCATATGTATATATCCCTGTAGGGAATTAAATTGCAAACAAAAAGATAACAAATGGAACGCTGTAACACAAAAATTGATGTTATCAAACTAAAAAGATTATACACATTTGTGTGCAGGTGTAGTGGGTGTGCAAATGTGTGCTCGCTCAGGGCTAACGCTTGGCTGACTCACTTTTGCTGCGCGGGGAAAGGGGGCTGTGATTTTGGGCTTTATATGCATATACCTCTGTAGGGAATTCTATTGCAGACAAAAAGATACCAAAAAGAACAGCATAACACGAAAGTTGAGGTGAGAAAACTGAAAAGAGTATACATATTTGAGTCTGGCCGCGTGCTCATGGGAAATGCTTGGCACACCATGAGGTAGGCTGGAGAGCGTGCGCCAGGGATGGGAAATTGTTAGTATCGTTTGCTAATTAGTTCCTTGTATAGTAATGCACATATTTGGGTTGAGAGTTATACAATAGCTCATCTTACTGTGTATACTCCAGTTAATATGTATGATTATTTATTACTAAATAAGAAATAACTTATTTTTCTTCAACGTAATTTGGGATGTTATTGTACAATTGATTCTCATTTCAGATTATTGCTAAAGATAGCCAGAAATTAACAGAAGCAAAAGGTAATAGTGCGAAAAGTAACATACCTGACAAAAAAAGTACAGGTTGTAATAAAATTGGAACTGTGAAGTGCAGAAAGACTCCAAAGAATAGCAATTCTGTAATTGACCGGCAACATAAGCAAGCTGAGAAAAGGAAAAAAGGAAAAATGGAAGTTTGGTTTGATAATGTTGATCCGATCCTTCTAGAACAAAGTGAGGAGGAGAGTGAAGTAAAGGATTGCAAAGGTAAAGGTGGCACGAAGGCGGGCGGTCCTGAGGTGAGCTCTGACAGTGCGGGACATGATGCCCCCCTGACGAAAACTACTTCCTTTGTAGGGTAAGTTTCATTTTCTTGATGTGTTCCTAATCTGCTTTTATATATCGTTATCTCAAGTATTGTATCTTTTGTAGGGAATGTATGGAGCTTTATGATAATTGTTACAGAGGAATACATACAGGGATTTTGTAAGATTGGCATTTTTCTGTAGTTATAAAAAGTTTCCTTATACAGCATTATAAGTAACTACTGAGTGTAGTTTCTTAACTTAAAAGCTCTTTAAAATTAAGCATGTTTATAATTTGTCTCTTCTTTGTGAGTAATTTAAACGCAAAAGTTTGTGCAATTGCAAAAACGGCAAATATTGTACACCAGAAAACAGTGCTGCCTGGAACCCTTCACTTGTTTAAATTTCTTGTACACAGTCCATGTTTTACATGAATACTGTACTTTTTTTTTCATTGTGAAATAATCATTTGTTTTTACACATCTTGTGTGATGCCAGAGTTAGTCATTTATTTTGCACCCCCTACACATTCTGTGGGTGTTTGTGAAAAGGCTTAGAATAGTACATAATGGGTTTAGGAACTGAAACCCCACAGTTAATTTTGGTAAGCAATTGGATGTGGGTTTAAATAAATAAATGTAGTTACAGGGTGAAAGCTACTCTCATGGTGTCCCGTCTTCCCAGTACTCTTTGTCATATAACGCTTTGACGCTACTGATGGTTTTGGCCTCCACCACCTTCTCACTTAGCTTGTTCCAACCGTCTACCACTCTGTTTGCAAAAGTGAACTGACTAATATTTTTTTGACTGCTTTGTTTCCTTAGTGTGAACCTATGTCCTCTTTGTTCTTGAAGCAGTAGTTTTCAAAAATAATTCTTCTTTGTCAATTCCTGTTACTATTTTGTGCGTAGTGTTCATATCACATCTTTTTCTTCTATATTTTAGCTTTGGTATGTTTAACATCACTAACCTCTCCTCGTAACTCTTGTTTTTCAGTTCCGGAAACCATTTAGTTGGATGTCTTTGCACCTTTCCTAGTTTAGTGATGTGCTGTTTGAGATATGGCCACCATACAACTGCTGCATATTCCAACTTTAGTCTCACGTTGTGAGACTAAAGTTGGAATATGCAGTGACAGATACAGAGAGAGAGAGTGAAGACATTTTGAATATGAGAGCCAGATAGAGACAGAGGCAGACAGTAGATAAATGGATAGATAGATAGATGGATAAATGGATAGATAGATAGATGGATAAATGGATAGATGGATGGATAGATGTATAAACAGATGAATGGATAAATAGATCAGTAGCTGTATGGATAGAGAGTAAGATGGATGGATAGGTGGATGGATAGGTGGATAGATAGATGAATGGATAGATGTATGGACTTATGGATAGATAAATGGATGGACAGATGGGTAGTATAGTTGGTAGATGGATAGATATTTGGATAAACAGATGGATAGATAGATGGGACAGATAAATGGAATGTGATCATGCTTGCATGGATTATTCTGAGCCAAAAGGGAGCCACAGAGGAACGTGCTGCAGACTCTCAGTCTGGAAAGAACCCGGGTCAACAATTGAGCTGGAAGGAAGAGATTAATTTCCACCAGCCCCCAGTCTATTCAAAAGGCATCCACCATAAAAGCTTTGTGATGAGGGACTGGGGTCAAGTAAGCCGGAAGCCATGGTTCCATGCAGACACGAAGAGGTCTGCGTTGGGTCATCCATATGTCTCGCAAAGCTAACAAAATGCCTCATCATCAACATTTCACTCCATGGTAATCAGGCAAAAATGAGAGTCTTTGCCAGAATGTTGACATGTGCCTGAACATAATCAACATGGAGAGCCAAACTCTGAGAAGCCAGATAAGGAGCAACCAACAGAGTCCAACTCCATAAAGGAACATACCAAAAGAACCCCTTGCAACTCAAAGAACCACCAGGGAGAAGTCGGGGTGGAGCCAGATCACCGAGCCTGCTGGGAGATGAAGCAACTGCAGAGTAGTTGCTTCAACCAAAAGATTTCAAAATAGACCAGACCACTGTTAAGCGGGTTAATCATTGGCAAAAACAACCCTAGAGCATAGGCAGCTGTTTGGGGTCTGAGCAATGCACTGTAATATGAGCACACGAGCAGCCTGTGCTGTCCTCATAAAAAAAGAACCGTGACTGCCCCTATCTACGAAGCCTTGCAAAAGAATCAAAAGGCTCTTGCATTGCTAAGGGTAAGGCACCTTCCACTGGAAGCCAGCTGTCCTTTCAGAGACAGCCACCCAAACTCACCAGGGAAGAGAATTCTGGTTAGGCAGAGGCAGCACCAGCAGATACCTAGAAATGGTCGCTAGGTACAAGCATACCTGGAGAGGGTTTTGGAAGTTCTTCTACTCCCCGAGCCTGGCCCGTGGTGAACGGTTAGAATCCATGCAAAATTGTAAGGCATAAATATACAGTACTTGAATGTGAAGCAATTAATTAAATACTGAATGAGTATACAAGCAAATTGCTCCCAGCTGGACAAAGAACCACATCCAAGATGGACTTATCTGAATACAGTGGCTGGGATTTGAAGAATGTGTAGCAGCCACGAGGAGAGACGCTGGAGTCCTGATACTTTGTGCCAGGCAAAATGACTGGTGATTAAGGCTAAAGGGATCAAGGAGCTAGGTGCATAGGTTGTCTATGCTTTGTTTACCTTGCGGATTGCCTGTTTTGTATCGTCCACCTTTCTGGTGACCTCGTTTGCATTAAAGTGATCTTGCATCCTCTGCTTCTTCGGCCTCTTTAGAAAGCGCCCAGATTTGAGCCTGTGGTCCCTGGTATCGTTACAGTGACTCACAGGGGCTTGGTGTAGAATGAATTGGGTGGAGCTGTATAGGTAGATAGCAACAAGGAGCCACCTTAGAAGACCTCCCAGAAAGGTAGTATTAGTTTATTAATAAAAAAAAGTTAGTAATTTAAACATGAAATATAAACTGAATTGTAATAGTTATCTAAATAATTTTTTTCTCCACAGTGTAACAAAAGTTATCGGAATGGATTGCGAGATGGTGGGAGTTGGAATGAACGGTGAAGACTCAATATTAGCACGAGTGTCCATTGTCAACCACTTTGGTAAAGTGTTGTATGACAAGTATGTCAAACCCACCGAGGAGGTTATAGATTACCGAACACATGTGTCTGGAATCCGGCCATCTGATATAAAAGAAGGTTAGTGATGTTTTTTCTCCTCTCACTATGAAGGTTATTCCTGACTGCCATCAATTATTGAACCTATCTTAAAAAAAATTTGATATATTTTTTTCAGTAAATGTATCTGCATTTTTAAAAGGTAATGAAAAATAAAATAGCATTTGTAAGGGCTGTTATTTTATAATTTAGCAGTAATCAAAATTTCTCAAGGAATAAGAAATAGTGAAAGAAATTTAAAAGATCTACCGAATATATTTATATGCAAATAGTCATTTTCTATAAACAAAATAGTATGGCACGTGCATGTGGATTATGAATCACAATAATGTGGTTGAAGAGTTTATACACAACTGAAAATGAAGAATATATGACAATTTTGGTCTGTCCTGGACCATTATTAAGTCGTGTAATGGAAAGACAGTGGAAAAGAAAATGATGCAAGGGGTGAGAGTGAATTGAAAGGTGAGAGGAAGAGAGAAAGTTGATGACAAAAATAAGATGAAAGGTAAGGATGAAAGGGTATTTGGCACACAGGCCAAAAACAACCAAAAACAACTTCTTTTCCCCAGACTACTCTCCTACCATTCTACTTCCATAGGAAAGTTAAACATCTTCCTGTTTTCTGGAATTGTTGGCATCCTGTGTTGTGGTGCTGTTGTAAGCAAGCCTGGAGAGCTTCTGAACTACTGAAGGGTCTCTCAGAAATCAAGGATTAAATGTAATGAAATGCCTTTCTGGAGGAGCTTAACAGTGGTGCCCCTTTAGTTTGTTTGCTGAGGTAGCTCATGTCACATTAGCCCATATGTGGATGTGACAGGATGAGACATTCACACATGTCACATTAGCCCATATGTGAATGTGACATGATGAGACATTCATACATGTCACATTAGCTATTGGAGTCCTTATTGCCTACTGGAGACCAGAGCCAGAACCTGACCACCACCGTTCCGTGCTCGCAGAGGCTCTGGGAGCAGGGAATTGTTAAGCTCACCCTCATGAAGGAAACATCCAGAAAGTAAACAAAACAAAATGCAGAACTGCAAGATTCACAGAGAGAGAAGAAAGTTAATGGCAAATCACTCCACAAGCTATCCACCCAGCAGTTTGGTCTAAACCAAACAAAAAGAAAGCTTTGTGTTTTATAAATGGTCCATCTCCAATCCATCGATGGATTATATATTCTCCAATGACTTCTTTAATTATCCTGTAGCGGCCACTTAAACTTTCTTCTGTGATGCTGGTACAGTACCAGAATTGTGTCCTGTGTGACCACATGTTCCTGTTGTGGACACAGTATATCTCATCTTCAGGAGCAACTGAATGAGTCTGCCCAGGAAGTTGCTTTTTGTATTAATTTCAAACTTGTTTTCTCAGGTGCTGAGTTTTCCACAGTGCAAAAAGAGGTCTCGGACCTTCTTACAGGAAGAATATTAGTGGGCCATGCTTTGCGTAATGACCTGAAGGTTCTTTTTCTGTCTCATCCACGGGCTGACACGAGAGATACATCGAGGTAAGCAATATTATTATACAGACAACCACATGCTTTCTGGATACCCCGGAATTGAGACTAAACGAATAACTTGTGTCCTGATAATTGGTTCGTCAGCCTGAAATTCTTGGAGAACAAATTAGACTGTTTTATGACAAAAATTTTGCAATATTTTGTTTGTGCTCACCAATATGACAAGTTCTGATCTGTCAATATGACAAGTTCTGATCTGTTAGTTTACTTGAAGATTATTGTTGATAGTGCATTGTTATTTAGATGACAGAGGTGGTGGTGGATGTTGGTGGTGTTGGGCTGACTGAAGTGGAGATTATGAGTGATGAGGTACACATAGATGTTGAAGTGTTTGGGACATGATGTGATGTTCCGGGTGCAGGTGGTTCAATGCCAGGTTTACTTGCTTTACATTACTACTTTACATTACTACTTCACCTGATTCCTTTCTGTTACATATTGCTTTATCACTTTCACTTCTAAAAATTAGTCAAAGATGGTTGATTTACCCCTTAATATTATTTTAAAATATAGTGTTGCAAACCTGATATTCAGCACACACACTTCTTGGGATTCTATTCTCCACCTTCTTTATTAGTATGATTTTCCTCACAAGTGTCAGCACTGACTTCTTTCTCTTAATTATACCACTTGTAGAAGTGTGCACTGACAAAATGTGTGCATTTGGAGCCAACATGCTGCATGGATGTTCTTCAGTTTTGCCAATATATCCGAAGAATCACAGGAAAGGATGCTTCACATTCCTGTCTTGTGCGTTAAAACAATGGGACATGAATTTGTGACATCACATGGGTGGGATGCACTCATGTGGGGTCTCGATACTGTCAGTGGGGAAACTAGGTCTATCTCCCACCCACACATCTCCGTTCCACTGGGCAGCAAGGCTTAGCTTGTGCTCCCTTCACCACTTGATCACACATTATTTATTCGGACTGCTCACCTCGCCACTTTATAGCACATTATTCGGATAAACCAAAAACGAATAACGGGCATATGTGGATAAGTAGTGTCCAGAAAGCATGTGATCATCTGTCATAAGGTTATTATTTTAAAATATGCTTTATAGATTTTAGCTTTCATTCCTTAATGGAATATTATGGAAATGAATAAAAAAGGCTGTCTTTTGGCATTAGTACATTCGGACTTCTGTGCCTAAGGTTCTGTTTTTACAGTTTGTATTATATTCAAGGTTGTTTGAAAGAGATTTTGAATTTACAGTACTACCTTCTACTAGGTCGCATCAGCCGTGGAGTTCTATAGGCCTTACAGGAATCGGCTCCAGAACCTGGCCCTACCCTCACAGAGGGGCAGAGTAGTGACATGTTGACCAGACCACACACTAGAAGTTGAAGGGACGACGACGTTTCGGTCCGTCCTGGACCATTCTCAATCGACTTGAGAATGGTCCAGGACGGACCGAAACGTCGTCGTCCCTTCAACTTCTAGTGTGTGGTCTGGTCAACATACTTCAGCCACGTTATTGTGACTCATCGCCTGTATAGAGTAGTGACATTTTATTTTTGCTACCTCATTTGGGAAGGCAACCAATTACCTCCATGCTCAAGAAGGAAGGAGCAACCTCTGCAACTGGCCAAGCTACATACACTGTCTTGACTCTGAAACCCTCGGACACTTCGGAGCCGGTAGCAGGGTTGGGGGGTGAGGAACAGTAGTAGGGGCGTACCACACCTGCAGGAGATGGAAGAGGCGCAGCTGGAGTCAAGGAAAATGATAGGATGGATTATGAGAATATTAAAATCCAAGGACCCCACAGCAATGCTAATACTATTTAATATAATCACTCGTAGTGTCCTGTCTACAGTATTGCTTGGTACTCACTTCCTCTTTCAGAGCAGGAGAGATTGCTGAAATAGAGGGAACACAGAGAACATATATGGCACACATAGACATGATAAACTTCCTAAACTACCGGGACCATCTCAAAGCTTACAAGATGTACTCTCTGGAGGGAGATGACAGAGGTACCATATAATATATATTGTACATGGAAGATACTGGAAGTCCATGTCCCAAATTTGTACAGTAGAATAACAACTTACTGGAGTGAAAGGTACAGAAGGAAGTGTAGAATAGAACCAGTGAGGAGTAGAGGTGCCATAGGCACAGTCAGAGAGCACTGTCTGAACATCAGAGGTCCACGACTGTTCAACACCCTCCAAGCGAGCATTAGAAATATTGCCAGAACAAAATTGAACTTCTTCAAGAACAAATTAGATAAGTTCTTGCAAGAAGTGCTAGGCCAACTGGGTTGTAGTGGATATGTGGGCCTACTGGCAGCTGCAAGCAACAGCCTGTTGACCATGTTATCACAAGTCGAGCCTGGCCTCAGGCTGGACTCGAAGAGTAGAAGAACTCCTGCGACCTCCCCCTAGGTATTTAGGAGGTATCCAGGTAAGGTGGAGATTCCTAACACCACCAAATCCAGATCCCTAAACATTATGTGGGGCAGTTTTGGAGCATCTATATCAACACAAAGCTGTGAATGCTGAACTCAGAACCCAGACAAACCTAGCCCATAAAGCTGCAGCTGCCTGATATACTTCCGCCTCAGATGCAAGAATAGAGAGAATCGGAACCTGTGAGGGAATAAACCTCACAGGATTCAGGGTTATAAGTATTGCTGACCCAACGGGCAGAACAGTAGAGGCAGACAAAATGATTGTTGTCACATAGCAAAGGCAACGAACCTCCTTCAGACTTGCCACTGGTGAAATTGGGCTCGACGGGCTGTCATTTATACATAACTGATCTCATCAGAGACTTGCAAAGGGGAGGGGGAATACAAGGGCCTGAGGTAAGTAGAAGTAGTAGGAGTAGAAGAACTAGAACCTTCTCCAAGTATGCCAGACAAGTACTCTCAGGCACTGGGAACACCAACTGAAAGAACAGATGCCAAAAACAACCACATGGACTAAGCTGCAAAAGGTGACTGTGGCGTGCTGTATAAACAAAGAGCATGAGCCCCCAATGTGCACACTAATGCAATATATTTGAATGATCCCGACCATGGGTCTAAACTGAGGAATCAAACAACTCTTGAAATACCCAAGGTAAAGCACTTGGGTATTTCACCCTAGGTGCTTTACCCTGGGTGGCCTTACCTCAATAGGGGTGAATTCCTCAACACCCCACAGGTAAGAAGTTCTTACCCTTTTTATTAGAGTAATGCTAAATGAACCTCCAGGGAAGTGACTGCTGCTGACATGCAGTTTGTAGTTCAAAGAGCCAAATCCACACATCAGGATCAGATAGAAAACGTACTCGTAAAGCTAATAATATTTTGGAATAATACATGCAGATGGGCCCCCACAGGCCAAGTCCTAGGATGGTCAGTACTTAACTTAGGAAAAACCTGCCACCAAAGATAGTGACCGTGGAGTACTACTGTGATGTACTAGGCAACATATCAGTGAGAGAACTGACTAGCAAGTTGGTGAAAGACCAAGCTTAAAGCTGCCTAGTGACAGTAATTGGTGCTATTGTGTTTGAGCTAGTTTAGAGTTAATTACTATTTTGTTTTGCTTGAATCATTTTGGGAGTTTTTTTTTTTTGCAGTTTCGAGGCTTTGATTCTTGTGAATCCAGTAGTTGTCTGTAAAGCTTCGCTGACTTTATGAAGGCTAGCCTGATGAAATAATTGAATGTAATTTGCTCTTTGTGTTTTTGTGAGGAGGGGCCAGCTTCTGGCTTTGGTCTCTGGTATGCCAAACAGAACACGTGTGACTGTGACTTTGTAGTGTGGAGCAATCATAGCAAGATAGCTATAAGCAGCCATCAAGGGACTTAAGAGACTTCCCCAGAAAAGTTCATTTTTGTCCTCAATTTTTTTTCCACTATTCTATCTTCAATTATATTTAAAATACCTATTTATATATAATTGTTTGACTATATTTGCGCAAAGATGTGTTCTATTATATGAGTTCAGATTTTTAGTTTGCAATCAATAGTGAAAAGTGGCCAAACTCGGTGGACTGGAATCCTTGGTAGAATATAAAAGATCCGGTCCCAGATATGTAAAATGAAGTGCCATTGTACTAACTTATGCTTCAGGTACAAGGGGTTTCGGAAGCTGTTTGGAGGAAGGACTCCTAGCCTCAAAAATCTAACAGAAAAGGTTATGGGCGTCCAAATCCAACATGGAGAGCATAATTCGGTAAGTTTTATTTGCTTTTCATTTAGAATGTTGTCTTTATTTATTTTTTCATATTTAATAGAATTATTCTCCATAATCAAGTAAATATTTCAATTCCAAGTGATAAGTAGAAATGAAGAAAGTGTAGAAGAATTTCAGCCATTATACCACACAGTTTTTCTTAAGTTTTACCTCTCTGAAAATAATTCGACATTCCCTTGTCTTCCCATAACTTAACATTTTTTATGAAGTTTCTAAGATTTTCAGGTCATAGGGTTCAGACCAGATCATGAAGGTTTAAAGGTCATGAGGAAAAAACAGCATGGAATGTAATAAAATGCTGGTTTCTGGGTGAGCCCCAGAGGCTCCCTGAAGCTGTCTTACTGATCAAATGCCATACTACTTGTCAGTAGTAATGAGTGTCATTGAAATTGAATTGAAATTGAATTGAAAGAAGTTTATTGAGGTAAAATACACACAAAGGAATGAGGTAGCTCAAGCTATTCTCACCCTGTTCAGTACATCGTGTTAATACATACATAGACATACATGACAAACAATAAACATATTACCGAACATTCTGAGCGATAAACATATACATTCCTCCTCTACACATGAGTGTCATCAGTGACAGAGTCCTTTTAAGCCTACTGGGAACCATGAGCCAGAACTTTGCCCCCTTCAGAGAGGTGAAGGGAGCAATGCCCATGAATACAAAACATTTAAAGTATGTCACCTTGCCATCGACTGGGAAAGGACCCAGAAAGGTAGGCGAATCAAAACAGACCACTGTCTGGTTGAAAATTGCAAGCTACATCCTCACAAGCACAAAAGAACTCCCGTAGAACACAAACTAACAAGCAAAACTTGTTTTGCAGTTGGGTAGGGCTGGGGCTTCACCTGCTGCTTTCACCCCAAAGCTTCATCAAAGCTCGTATTTTCCTAGTCATCAGCAGTGCCATTGTCTATCCAGCTTACAGTCTACCTTCATGTCCATGACTTTTGGAAGTATGCCACTCTTTCGGCTGTGTTTGTGAACATGTCCTGAGCTGATATTCAGGCATGGGGGGTTTTGATGTCAAACAGGTTCTGGCAACCCAGTATTTGGTGCATGTTCCTGGGCCTCGGCACTCTTGTGTGGCCTTGGGTTGTCTCTTGGCTGGGAGTCTCATCCTTGTCCTAATTCCTGCTTTGCTTCCTCTTTCCTAGTAAGTTCCCATGTTTTCTTCTCCACGGATAGTTACATTCAGGGATTCACAAGGGGGCTTCCCCATAGAAAACCATCATTGAATGTAATAAAATGCCAATTTCTTTGTAAGCGCCAGTGGCTCCCTGATCCCCTTCCTCCCTTCCCGGTCGTTAGTGGATGCTTACATCTGCCCTAGAACTGAACTTGGGGATACTGGCTGGCAGTAGGTTGCCTGGCACCCCCCCCCCCCCCCAAGTGAGAGAGAGAGCTTGGACAAATGAGCTCATGCTAATTCAGAAAGATTGCAATCATTTGTTTACATAGTTGGGGAGTTCTTCTGGCTCGTTTTGAGGCTTCTGATTCTTTTGAATCTAGTAGTGGTTAGTTTTGGCTCACTGATTTTTGTATTGCTTTCACCGTTGTGGTGGCCTAAAACATGCCACTGCTCCTTGTGCCTCAGTGATAGGGCCAGTTTCTGGCTTCCAGTCCCTGGTAGGCCTCTAGCACACTATGGCCGACATGTCCCAGTAGATGGTAACCATCTCGGTGTATAGCTTCAGGAAGCCTCCGGGGCTAAACCAGAAATTGGTATTTCATTACATTCAATGCGGTTTTTTCTGGTGCAGACCGGTCCCAACCCCCTGTCAAGCTGCCTAGTCAAGCATTGTTCCCTTCTTTGATTCTATGTTGTGCCACACTGTTACTGAAAGATTTCCGATGTAATTTTTTTTTAACAGAAACTTAGATAATTATCAGGTATTGGGTTCACCAAATTTTCAAAGCTATTCTCTATTTTGTTTATCTGTTCAGTGAATTCCTCAGCCATCGCATCTGGCAGTTTGTATCTTAGGAAAATAACTTAAGTTTATTTTCTCTATTTTTACAAGTTTATTTTCTCTATTTTTACTCCCAGTACCTCTACCACCTCATTTGTAGAGTTAAAGAGCTCCGAGCATGCAAAGTCTTCCCTAATATATAGACCCACTCCTCCATGTGACCTGTTTACCTTATCACATCTGTATAGATTATGTCCTGGTATCCAGATCTCACTGTCCAAGAATTTCCCTGCATGAGTTTCTGTGAAAGCTCCAAATACTGCATTTGACTCAGTGAAGAGGCCATTTATGAACTGTACTTTGTATTTTGTTCTTGTTTTTAATCCTTGTATGTTGGCAAAGATGAATGAGATACACTATTTGGGGTAATTTGACTGGGAGACTTCTGGCCGATCCATTATGAGTGGATATATCGAGTTTGTTCTAACCAGTGCTGATTGTTGTAAGGCAGTTGCCTGTTGTAGTTGTAGTTCCTTTGCGGTGTGTAATTGTATATGGGATTCTGGTATGCAAGTGGGTCTGTTATCCAGTTCCATACATTCTCTATGTTCCCCCTTTTGAAATCTCTTGGCTTGCTATAAAAAATTATTTGAGCTTCCTCCAAATCCATTATCTTGCTTGCCACTCTTTATGTAGCATTCTGTGCCTTTCACATGAAAGTATGGGCAGCTGAGGTCATAGCATTTTCTGTCCTCGAGTGAGGTTTGGCACATGTCAGGATGGAAAAACCTACATGTTGATCCAAATCGACACTGTCCTTTCCTAAGCGTATTTAAAAAATATTTGGGATGGTGGTAAACAGATGGTGATGGTGCATTCTATTCTTTTCTTATTTCCAGCATATCTATGTCTGTATATGCCCTTTACATAGAATTTGCATATGTCTATCGTTCTGGTCTGACTCGCTCTATCGGGGACCGTTGAAGTGTCTGTACCTATCAAGCTGTCAGTGCTGTCTGTTACACTTTCTAGTCTACTGTCGTCTGCATCCAGGCATACTGAATCAGAGTTTACAACTTCCTGAGATTCTGCTTCGGTTTCCTCCCTGACTGCCCCTGGTCTATTAGAATTATTGTTGCTCATTTCCCACTCTTTCTGGATAGCTGGTAGGCTTTCAATGAATGAAGTTTTCCAGTCATGAGTCATGGTATCTAGAAGGTTTTTTAGTATATTCCAAGATGGCAAGTAATTTTTACATACCCAGAGTAAATGGTCAGGTCTCAGTCCCATGGTATTACTCACTCCTGTACAAGCCGAATGAAATTTATTCTTACATATATAACATTCAATTCCCGTTGCCTTTGTCTTCAAGCTTTATTACAGGTGACCACAAATTAGTTTGTTTACTGCCATATTGCCGTGTTTTGCTGTTGTTTGCTCGTGTTACCCGGTAGGACAATAAGAACTCTGTGATTAGGTAACACCTAGTAGTATGGCATTAAATCAGTGATAGCTTCAGGAAGCCTCCGGCACTCGCCCAGAAATTGGCATTTCATTACATTCAATGCTGGTTATTTGGAATTAGTTTTTCTTGTGCACCACAGGGGTTATATTAAACAGGTGTGCAGTGTAGAGGTTAATGGAACCTTTATTGACCGAGTAATTTTCTTTCTCAATCATCTTTCTGCTCTCATATTTACATTCCAAATGATATCTTGGAGCTTTTGAGGATTCTGATTAGGATAATGTTAGCCAATCAGGCTTGGCGTGATATTTTGATAATTATTTGCTTACTTGTTCTTCATAGATATATAGCAGTCCATATCAAGATGGTCATATCATGTTTTGTTATAATCGTTTTCATATTTGTAGGTTCAAGATGCCCAAGCTGCCATGCGCTTGTACACAATGCACCGTAGAGAATGGGAAGAATTTATATCTAAGAAAAGGAGAAAGCTAACTGCCAAAAAGAAGAGCAAACCATCCACTGCTGTGACAAAGAGTGACAGTGATGCTGTGACAAAGAGTGACAGTGATGCTGTGACAAAGAGTGACAGTGATGCTGTGACAAAGAGTGACAGTGATGCTGTGACAAAGAGTGACAGTGATAGTGAGGAATGATTTACATACATGATCATTATGCAGTATGCAGTGTATTTTTCCAACATGCTTTCTCCCCCCCCCCTCCTCTCTCTCTCTGTCTGTCTGTCTCTCTCTCTCTCTTTCTCTCTCTTTTTCTTTCTTTCTTTGATTGGGAAGTTTACATCCTGGTGAACTGTTTTAATAAATGTAGGCAAAGCTGCCAAAGATTGGGAAAAGATGTACAGGGGCCAGATTCACGAAGCAATTACGCAAGCACTTACGAACCTGTACATCTTTTCTTAATCTTTGGCGGCTTTGTTTACAATTATTAAACAGTTCATGAGCTCTGAAGCACCAGGAGGCTGTTTATAACAATAACAACAGTTGATTGGGAAGTTTTCATGCTGGTAAACTGTTTAATAAATGTAACCAAAGCCGTCAAAGATTGAGGAAAGATGTAAACGTTCGTAAGTACTTGTGTAACTGCTTGATGACTCCTGGCCCTGTGCGGTATTCTTCATGATCTCCCAAAGTTTGTTGATCTCTTCCACTTAACTACCACATTCTCTCTCTCCATATTCTTGGCACTGTTGTAATAATTTCTATGGCAATTTGGTATATAATCTTCCTTCTTTTTCTTATATTGTGCCTCTGTAATTTTTCACTCACTCTTATCCTACTCAATTGTGTTGCACTCATGACAATTTTTGCACAAAATATTAGTCCAATATCAACCCAGTGAAAATATCCACTGAGTAGGTAATACCAGCTTGAGAATATCCACTGAATAGGTAATACCAAATTGGGAATTTCCACTGAATAGGTAATACCAGCTTGGGATTGATTGATGTGCCCTTGGTATGCCATGACCTGTCGAAGGACACATTAATGTCAAGGACTTCACTCTTCAATTCACTACTGTAATAACCTATGACTTTCTCAGGAATTCCATCTTATACCCCTTAACTATTTGTCAAATGCCTCATCTCTTATCATTTTCTGGTACTTTGTATAAACAATGGGCAAAATGATTGGAATATTCATTACTCCTCATGTTGTTCATGTTGTATTCATTAATCGTCGTCAGTAGGGGCCCTGACGGCTGTATGGAGTGCTCGGGATTCGTAGTCCTAAGGTTCTGGGTTCGATCTCCGGTGGAGGCGGAAAGAAATAGGCAGAGTTGCTTTCACCCTGATGCACCTGTTCACCTAACAGTAAATAGGTACCTGTGAGTTAGACAGTAGCTATGGGCTGCTTCCTGGGGATGTGTAACAAAAAAAAGAGGCCTGGTTTAGTACAGGGCCGCGGGGAGGGGACGCTAAGCCCTGAGATCATCTCAAGATATCTTAAGAAGATACAGTAGTTTTGAAATAATTATAACCAAGACCATTGAGCCTGTTGGTTTACGCTACTTTATTGTTTCTCTTTTTTTATCTATTACAGTGAGTTCTCTACCATACTCACAGTGCCCCACCACACTTTTATGACAATTTTCACATCATGTTGGTCAGTAACTAATACATTGTTTCAATTTACGAGTTTTACAGATGCTAATATATAAATATTGTTAAGAACATTCACCAGCTTTGTATCAGGCATTATAATATGAGGTACATTAGCCATTTTTCCCCTTCTGCTTTCTTTTTCTAAACAATATATATGTTTTTTCCATAACTTTCATCTAAATCAATATTAAATTTTTCAGTCTGTAGCACTGTTCAGTCTTTTTTACATTTCATTGAAATGCTAGGAGTGATGCTGAGAATACACTTCCCATCATGGGAGGTGCCTGGCACTACTACATCATTAGTAGAAGTACTTGGCAATGTACCATCAGGGGATGTTTCCATTGACTATATCAGATAGTTATAGAGGTCAGTGTGTCAGCTGGAGAATGTAGAGTCTACAGTGCCTCCACAGCTGATGTGTCATCATGAGAGAGACCAAGAGGAGGTGAACTGATCTCACCTGCTCTTGCTATATATATATATATATATATATATATATATATATATATATATATATATATATATATATATATATATATATATATATATATATATATATATATATATATATATATATATATATATATATATATATATATATATATATATATATATATATATATATATATATATATATATATATATATATATATATATATATATATATAATTAATACAAATCTAGAAGGGGTGCCACCTCTGGTGCAAGTGTAGGGACCCATAACTTCAGAGAAGAAAATAAAGAGTACTCAGAGAAGACCTTGTGGAGCCTCACTGAACACTTTGATAATTTCTTCTACCACCCCTATTCTTTTGGTATGTGTATATATATATAACTTTATTTGAAAATTTCATTGCACATATATATATATATATATATATATATATATATATATATATATATATATATATATATATATATATATAATATATATTTTGGGAACAGGTTTTCTGAAATACACATGTCATTAAACATAATAGCATTTTGACTATTGTTAATTTTCTAATGAATATTTTCCATTCTTTGTAAATACCTTCTACCATCTAGAGGGTTAAGAAATACTAGATCTTTATTGTTGGACATTTCATCAGCAATGTGACATCTTCAGGAATGCACACTATGCACAGAAGACGTTGGTATATTAAGCTTACATGCAGAAACATAGACATTTATATGTGTGGGTTTACCTCGCTCTACGATTCCCCCTAACCTGCTTAATCGTAGGGAGTGCCGAGGAATGGCGTGAGGTGATTGATGACTTAAAAATGTTAAAGCTTAGGAATTTACCAGTGTATTGTCTTCCACACAAGTAAAGCAGGTGTGATGTGCCTGTATAGCAAAGGTAAATTAAAAAATATATTATTATAGAGAAAGTTTTATTCAACATAAACCAGAGATGAATGAATTGATTGTACTTTCCCAAATATGAAATGCCCCCAAGGTATAAAATAGTGAGTTTGAACATATTTTATTTCATACAAAAATGCGTGAACTCTAATTCTATCATGCACCTAAATTTGAGTCATCACTTGAAAACCAAACATCATTATTATATACGAGCTTCAAGAGTGTGCGTGTGGTGTGTATGTGTGTACGTATACTGTGTATATATATTACACACACACACACACACACACAGACTGATAAAGTATATAAAGATAAAGTCCCTGATAAAGTAAATTAAATATTCACATTAAAAATTACTGTATAAGCCTTGACACTGATTTTAACAATTATTGTCTGGGTTTTACGTGAATGGTGGTAATATGGATTTAATAGTTCTTTGTGCATGTAGTGTAGTTTACCTTAAGACATTGAACAAATACCACAATTGTTTCATGATTGCTTACTGTGCCAGTGAGGTAATAGTCATGTATAAAATTTGATTATAACTACATGATAAGTATACTGATTATGTTCATTTGGTTTTTGCCACTCTTAAATATTGTAATGACGTATACCAGATCAACGAATCGTCAGTTGAACATCATAATGGAGGAACTACAAACGGCCTATTGGCTCATACGTGGCAGCTCCTGTCCATGTTGTGGATATAAATATGAGCCTGCCTCATATGGGCCAATAAGGCCATATATGAGTGAAACTAGGAGGATATAAAGGGAGGCAGCTGCTATTTATATCCTCCCAAACTCATTCATGAATGTATATACAGCAATGACTGTATAGGTATTTATAAATGAATGTGTGTTGATGAGAACTATGGAACACAAAAGGCTAGTGGCCCTTACAAGCCTGGCCTCGGGCTTGTAACTCCTCAAACCTGGCCTCGGGCAGGACTTTGGGAATAGAAGAATTCTCAGAATCCCATCAAGCAGGTACATACAAAGCAGCTCTTATTTATATCCATAGTATAAATAGGAACTGCCTCGTATGGGCCAATAGGCCTTCTGCAGATTCGTTACTTCTTGTTGATACATACATACATATATTAATTCTATCACTGATTCATATATAAATTAATTTATACATATTCATAAGTACAGATACTTACATTTATACATTTATTTATTAATACATTTATTCACTGATACATCAATTGATTGATTCATTCATTGGTATACAGTATTCATTTATTATTCATACATTCATTCATACAATCTTCCAGTGTTTCTCAACCTTCGCTCTGCAGGACCCCCAAAGTAACTAGGGGGTTCCTCGAGATAGTGAAAAATCAGCTATTTCTAATGATGTGTGTGTATTTTTGAGTAATTGTTGTGTTACTCAAAAGCCGCGCAGGCATGCGGCGCGGCTCGTGTGACGTCATGTGCGGTTGCTCGTTTTCATTTGGGGGAGTTCTGTTCACTTGTTTGTCTATTTTAGCTATTTTCACCAGAATAGGAGTTTGTTTTGAGGCCCTTACCTTTCTGGGTGCCTGTCTGATCAATGGCAGGTATAGAATGCTCCGAATCCCATGTGCAATTCTATAGGCCATTGCTCCTCGTGCCTCTCTGAGGGGGCCAGGCTCTGGCTCGTGGTCCCAGGTAGGCCTAGAACTCCAATCACACTGACTGATGTCAAAATTTAGTGATAAACATATCAGTCTGGATAGCTCCTGGGAGCCTATGGGACTCGCCCAGAAAATGGCGTTTCATTTCATTCAACGCTGGTTTTTTGAACAGTATATACAAGTCTTTAGAGAAGAACATTTTATTATGCAAAACAATTTATATCATGCATATAATGCTTAAAATTCTTAAATATAAATGTGTACATGATACTGGCCTTAATGACTTTTTTTTTTTTTTCAACCTGGCATGAATATTTAAACTTTTGAATCTGTTCATTATTTTTCTATAGACAGATATAGAAGGAATGAATAGTATATTATTGTCAAAATAAGAATTATCTTAGTAACCATTTTGCTGGGACACTTTGTGCTTTTTGTTCTCATAGTGTATAAAAAGACACATTTATCTTGTTTGAAGTTTTAATTATATTTATATTTTGTAAAGATCTGCATTTTCTGTATATTTAAAATGCAGAAGAAACAAATAATATAATACAAAACACGGGCCAAGAAACATCCCGGCCATATGTGTTCCATAAACTTTGAATATCATCATTTATACAATACAATCAAACATAAATATTACAGGATTGTTTTAATGGTCTATGGTTTTGGTATTTATATTCAATTTTTAATAAAAGGATGCAGTTTCCATATAAACTTTGGTATAAAAATCCAGCATAGAATGTAATGATATGACACTTTCTGGGTGAGCCCCGGTGGCTCTTTGAAGTTATACACCGAGATGGTTCCCATCTACCAGGTCACATCAGCCATGGAGTTTGATAGGCCTACTGGGGA